AAAGAGTGCTATGCTTTTTGGCAAGTTGAACATAAAATCATAGAATCGTAGAATGGTTTGGGTTGGAAGGGACCTCAAAGTTCATCTGGTTCCAAGCCCCTGCTATGGGCAAGGACACCTTCCACTAGAGCAGGTTGCTCAAAGCCCCATCCAACTTGGCCTTGAACACTTTTAGGGATGGAGAATCCACAGCTCCTCTGTGCAACTTGTTCCAGTGCCTCGCCACCCTCACAGCAAAGAATTTCTTTCTAATATCTACTCTAAACCTACTCTCTTTCAATTTAAAGCCATTCCTCTTGTCCTATAAAACTGATGCACAGGTCACAGAAGATGTGGTTACAGCTCCAGCCCATGCAGCACTGTCAGCTCAGCCTTAGAGTTCAGAACCCCATACCCACAAGAAAGCTTAAAACCAGGAGCGGGGTGGCATTGAGACCATTTTTTCCTGTACATGTAAAATGCAACAAATGAGCAGATCAGACCTGCACACAAGAATCATTGCAAACTGCAAGAGGCTCATAGGAAATTTTCTTATTATCAGAGTTATTTAGCATGTAGCAGTTTTAGAAATTGAGCACTCACTCTGCCAATCCAGCCAGTTGCACTTTCTTCTGTAAGTTGTTTTCCCTAAGAAAGAAGAAACAATCCCACAACAATTATGTTTGTTTTACATCAGGCTGTATTTCTACAAAGATAAACACACGGAAGTACTCTACTGCCTTCTAGTTTCATTCTCCCATCTACTTTTTCTTACCTGTGGACATGACCAATTACCATTTTCAAAGTCACAGACTGTGAGGACTGAAAAATTCTGAATTCTTCTGAGCCACTGCAGACAAATCCTTTGATCTGTCACCCATGTTACAGCACTCAAATAATGATTCCTGAAAACAGCAACAGCATTAGATATTTAAAATCCTCTCTGTAATAGCATACCATACAATAGCATTCAGCAATTCACTGAATGAGACTCATCTGGGTATTTTCATTTAAATCTACTCTTCACAATAAACAATGCTGCAAATGTAATTGAGCCATTTTTTCATCAATTGTTTTTGCTGCTAGTAGATGCCTTGGTTGTTTTCATAGATACAATAAAGAATTAGATGGTTTGTACATACCCACTGCCAGGAAGATTGCAATTAAATTCTAACAGCCAGATCACTATTCTCTAATGCATAAAATAATAGCTACTCCAGACTGTTCATAAATCTTGTACTATGTGCATCTAGAGGAAATTCTTCTGAATATAAAGTTGCATGTGCCTGAGCTTTTGGAGTGTTACCCTTAGCTGCATGAAGTTGGTTGCTTGTAAGCATTTTCTGAACATATTATTTTTGTTCAATTTAGTAGTTATTTCCATGAGTTAAAATGGAGGGAGGGATCATAGCAAAACCAGATATTACTATTTGAATGGTTTATTTTCATCTTCAGAATACCAACCAGTTAACATGAAGATCTAGAGGATTTGAAAGAAATCATTTTCATTAATATTCCTGTGTATTAATTTTAAAAATGCACCACAAAATGTAATGAGTTTGTTTACCATTATGATCTGTAAGATGCACTGTCTTTTCTTATTTTAGATCTCTCCTATCTCCTAGAAGCCTTATGAACTAAAATAAAACAAATCTCCCCTCCAAGGCAAGTATACATTTTTAACCGGAATTTGCACATTTGACTTAGTTCCAAGTTCATGTTCCCTTTTTCCTCAAAGTTAGTTAACAAAAATGTGTGGGAAGTTTTGTCATAAGAGTATCTTCGTTGGGGTTGGGGGGGGGGGGGAACACTACTATTACTGTGGATGGATTAAAAATACATGCCAACTGGTTACCGACAACTTTCAGGTTTATTTCTAGATTGCAGTTTTGAAATCATGTTTGGAAAAGGTCTATTGTTGCACTTATATTTGACTGGGAAGTTGGTAGGTCATTTAATTGCTACTGTTGCTGGCTCTCTGCAAGAACTTGTTTGAAAAAAATGCAAAAAACCTGCCATTCTTCATGTACTATAATACTGATTTCACTTGTTTTGTATAAGGGGAATTAGTCCCACAAATTTTGTTCCTTCAAAGTGAGAGAAGTTAACAATTCTGGCAACTATAAATCATTCATCAAACAAACTGGACAGTACAATGAAAACAAAACCCCCATTATTTATCAAGCTATTTTTTTAAGGTTACAGTTGAGACTGGGAATGCATATTCAGTATTCAACAATCCACAAAAAGTTAACTAAGCTGCAATTAAGTAGTAGTAGTAGTAGTAGCTTTGCACTGCCCTTCCTCATTTGCTGCTGAGAAGGAATACTCCTGCAAACACTCTCTACTCAGAAGTCAACTTATTTTAGGTCGAATAATTTCAGACAAGAACCCTTCATCCTCCTGTTGGCTAACAGGAGCCTCCTGTACCCCGATGCAAAAAAATGGAGTTTAAGCACTGTATGGATTTCATGCTGGTCATTCCAGATTTGGCAGCTTTTCTTGACAAATAAAACTTTTCCTCTGCACCAGACATGCACTGTGCCCCTTTCAAATGTGGGGTACAATTGGTGCTCATACACTCCGGATAGTGCTGTAATAGGCAACCATTTGCAGCAGCACTGTTTCTTGACATCCCCAACCAGGCAGGTGGGGTGGGGTGAGGTATACCACCAATGGAAACTTAGTTTTTACTCAGAATTTAGCTCAAGGGAATTAAAAATAGAATTTTCCACCACAAAAATTAACCTTTCCTGTCATACAGTGGTATAAATAGAAACACCATGTAAATATTCATTACTTTGTGCTTCCAGGAGCAAAAGTACCCAACAGCCACATTGCACATCATATGGCTTATCCTGCTCATGTACCTTTGCTCTTGCAAAATTCCCCAAGACTCGTTCTGGCCACCTCAACTTTTGCAGGGCACATATGCTGAGATGTGGCCATTATTTGGATCAGCCACTGGGAGAAAGACTAAGTTTTGACCCTTGCACTGATCATTCAAGGCTTGATTTATCTTTGTATTGATCCTGATTTACAGAGTGTTACATTCATTTAAAACCAGATTAATTTGACATAACTCACACCTGTGTTAGCCAGATGGCTACAAGGCTGGAAGGTAGCTGATGGTTATTCTCCCCACATCAGCTTTCATAAGACGTTAACATAAAGTAAAACATAACTCTGAGACAGCAGAGACCTTAATCAGTATTGAGCAAAATGCAAAGGGCCTTTAATTCTGAGCCACTGAAAGTCTGGAATAAAAACAGGGCATGACAGCTATATAGCATCTACCTATTGCAGTGTTACTGTAATGAAAGGATAAAGAACAACATATTCATTAAAACTCACATATCTCAGTTAACACATAAATGCTAGTTACACTATGGTGAGGACTAAATGGATATATTCTGGTTATAGCTTTTTGACCACCACGTACAAAATACTGGTTTTATGCACAAGCTAACAGACCCCTTTTGGGCTTTTTTTTCTGGTGTATTAGCATAACCTGTGCTTCCATACCCATCTTGTTTGTAAGTGCAAACCTCTAAAAAATTTCCACAATACTGTTATAAAGAAAAAACAAACCCCAAGATCTGGGATACCAAATTCTGTGTGCATGCACTTTAAATCGATGTAGCTGCTCTTTACAAAATACATTTATATCATGTTGTGCATTTCCAGTGGCATTTTGAGAAATATGATTTTCCATTTACTGTGAGAGGTGCTGATTTTCACCATGTTTCCAAAGAAAACAAACATTTAAGTATAAATCTGAAGACAACCATGGTACCTTGCCTTAGCAAGAAGTCTGCTTCCAAGGAAATCAAATCCTCACTTACCATTAAGGTTTTGTTTTGTTGTATTCCTCCCCTTGCCGCACTCCCCCCCCCCCCATGAATTGGAATACATATATTATAATTTGATTATACCAAAACTTGTTCATATTAAAGTTGTACTGTGAAATGACTTCACCATAGTTAGACTCCACTGAATGTGACGAGCCAAGAACTTGTCACATTCTGAATATAACATACATGGAATATGCCATCTATATATAATCACTAGGAGGATAATCTCTGTGCAGATTTTCTCTGGTAAATCTTGTTGCTACCAGAGACGCATGACAGGGAAAAACTGCCATATACGCTGAATATAGGGAGGTCACATATAAAAGCTCCTCCTATCCCATCAAAAGAAACAATCAAAAAATTAAACAAAATTTCTTACACTGATTTTATTTCTTCAGGTGGAGAAATTTCAAGAAGTTTGAAATCTGGAAGTGATCTGGTATCCACAATAAAGAATTTCACAGTTGGATTTGTAGCTCCTGCCTAAAAATAAACATTTTCATTGTACTTTTGAAGAGAGAATATTCTTGGTAAAATGAGTTTGAAATTATAGATGAATAAGTTACTACAGAAAGGTAGAACCAGCCAACTTCAAACATGTGAAAAGACAAGTTCCTAAATGCAGTTTTTAAGATTGATACATAAATTATCTTTTGTATTTTACATGAAAGTGTTAGTTATGTGTTTCTAGATAAGAAAGACTACTACATTTAGAAATATTCAGCTACATAGGGCTTGCTGTACCCAAAGGAGTATTTAGCCATCTCATCCTACATGCCACACACTGTACCTAATAATGAATCAAATCCACTGCTAACACACAGAAAGTGCTTCTCCATGAAAGGATCACCTTACATTAACTGGTCATATCACAGCTGCCTATATCACAATCAAAGCCATGACTGCAGCACATACTCTACTATTTTTAATATAGTGCTACTGACAGCAACATAACTGTGTCAGTAAGGGCTGCTTCCCTGGAAGCTAACTAGCCAAGTCCTCATTGTAACAGTTAGGTAGCTGCAGCTGATGCACCTCCAGAAGCCAGCAATATTCCAAACACAAGGGGTTTGTAATAAAATGTGTCATTTAAATTGGCAGTTCATTCTACACCTACGTCTCTTCTCAGGCACCACGCTCAGGACAGAGTGCCTGCAGCTGTCTGCAAGCCCAGCTGCTCACTGGGAGCATCAGTGACTTCTCTGAGGGAGGCTCCAAGGGGACAGGCAAAGACCATGTGCTTCTGAAGCTTTGGTAAGCGTAGGGAGTGACTAACTGCAGCTGCTGCAGAGGAAGCTTGGCAGAAAGAGGGCAGTCTCTTCACCAAACAGCTCTTAAGTAAAGCGATTGGCTGGCTGCATCAGCTCTTCTGCCGCAGTTAATTAAGAGTGAAAATGCCTTCCTGAAATGGCCAGACCATCACGAATTGGGATGGGGTGGTGAGATGTATTTGTGGTTTAAGACAATACAGAATATAAAACCTCAGTGATGAACAGAAAGAACTGAAGAAAATGATGGGCTTGAGATGGTTTCAACCCATCTGTTCCTTCCCAGCAATGGGGATGCCTAGCACTGTAACGGTGAGCACAGTATGGGGTATGAGAACATGTTTGTAGTGTGGCTCAGGAGAGAGGAGAAGGAGCTGCTTGCACTAATGGCTTTGCTCTCACAGCTAAAAGTGAAAAAGATTTAGGTGTGGGCAAAGAAATTCCTTCAGCAGATTCTTCCTCTTCCTCCCAATACAGGAAGTGAAAATGCTCCATTAGTTGAAGCAAGATTCCATTATCAATACCATGCACAACCCTAAGACAATGTACATCTGCCAAATGCTTTGTACCAACTTCAACTCCCTGTGAGCTTTTATCTTAATATCTACTCACTACCTCAAAATTTTCTGGTGAAATAACAAAACCTTAAATCATATGGGTTTTTTTCCTTTTTGCTTTCCCCTGGAGATAATAAAATACTTTAACATTGCCAGATGCTGTTGACTCCAGAAAGAGTAATCACAGCAAGCTGTTGAGGAGAGACAGACAATATTTTCATTAGCAGGAACAGATTAAATGAGACTTCTCTCTTAATGAAACTGCATGTTTAATAAATAACACAGACCTTGGGATATGGGATTCTAATGGTCTTTGGATACTGCAAGGTGTCCTCAGAATAAAAGGAATACTCTATAACAGGAACTTCTGTATCATCAAAGGCTGCAAATGCCACAAAATCCCCATTTGGAGACCACCACAGAGCAGAATGGGTGCCAAACATTTCCTCTGAAAGAGAAATAAACATATTTAAGTTATAACTGACATAACTGATAAGTCTATTCTAGGTGCTGTTCTCATTAGTTTTTAATAGGATTTCTTAAAAAAATTTAAGTTCAGATACCACAGTGCAGACTATTGAGGTTCTGAAATTAGACATTAGATCAATGTTTATAATCTATCATATGAGGCTAATTCACACACTGTGATTTCCAGTGTCTTACTGCAAGTTAGGCAAACTCATTTCCATTCTTAGATCCTCACACTAACCTGGCATTAAGCTCAGGTAAGGATGTATGTTTCTGTTAAAATACAGACTGATGAGTTTGAACTTTCCCATGGTAGAAATGAGATAATAATAATTACAATAAACCAAAGTTTTTACATCATACTGTAAAGTAAAATTTGCTTGGCATAGTTACCTTCATAAACCCAATCTGGTATTCCATTGAAAATTTTATTTTCTTCTCCATTTTGAGTGACTTGCACAGGTGGTGCTGTTGGCGAAGCTTTTACGTAAACATTATTATTCCAAACATACGCCTGCAAAACATCATTGGGATGACAATTACTACTAGAGTAAATCCTGCTTCCTCTCTCTACTTCATCTACTGGGAAATTTACATCAGACAACAAAAACCATCTTTAAAAGCTGCAGTACATCAAACATCACTGATACTTAAAGTCAGAATTACTAATATGGATCAGTTGCAGCAACCTAACAAAAAACAAACTATCAATGATAAATGACATGACACCTGTGTCAAGTTTTGAAAACCTTGCTATTCATTTTCTGCCAAGATATAAGCTTATTTTTCTTCTCCAGGAGTTGTTTTTCACTCATTTGTCTTTCAAAGAAAGCTATCAGTGCTTTGGTGAAGCATTTGCTGGGGTCTCAGCACTGCCAATAGCCCTGCAAAGACAGTACATTTCTTCAGTAGCCCTCAGAACTTCTCCAGATTTTGGCACCTGCCTTCCTCTCTAATCAGCTCTGTTTTTCCTCTCCAATAACTGAACAACAGTTTATTCCAGAGCTTCACTCCAAGATGCAGAAATTTTTTTTCAACTTCCTTTGCTTGTGTGATTGATCTCTATAACCTGTATACTTATTCTGCAATCAGAATAAACAAAATGCCACAGATCCTATGCTCACCACAGGGAAAAACAAGCCTTGCAAATGCAGTGGCTGTCACCCCTGCCACGGATTGGAGGGGAGGAAGAAGAGGACAGTGGAAAAGAGTACAAGAGAGATTTTGATCCTCTAATCCCATTACATGCATCCATCAAGTAAAACTTCATAGATTATTGTGCAATTAGGAGATAAAAATCACAGTGATGAGGAAGTAGACAATTGTAATGCTGCTGCCTTTGCAAGGGATGAGCTACTGTCTGCAACTGTAAAAACATGACGTTCCTGTGCATTCGTGCATTTCATGTCTACTGGGACCACTATTACCTTCAGGAATGCATTTTCATTAAAGAACAAAACAAAACACACAGGGGGATTTTGGAGTCTTTCCAGCAACAGCAATCAATATTGAAACTACTTCAGCTAGTAACAGTAGGGAAGTCCCAAAACCTAAAGGGTACAGACAATGTGAGTTTCCATGTCATATGTATGAAAATGACTGTTATGTAAGTTTCACTTATCTTTACTAACCAGTTTATGTCCAACAGGTGACCAGGATATATATTGTGTATCATTATGTAGTTGTCCATCATCTACAATAGAACTGGAAAAAAAAATGCAGCCAAGAGGAATCAGTGAAATGTCATTTCATTGGAAAAGAATGTTAAAACTACATCTCGTGTGCCAAAATTACTGACCTGCTATTGAAATCATAGATGTGATATGAAGCAGTAAAGGAATGCCTCCACAACTGCAAAAGAATTATTTTAATATTATGAAAATAAATGTCACCAGTATTCACATCTCTTACAGTTTGAATTACCTCTGAAACCTTCTACATGCTTTTTCTATAGACAAACAGAACACAATGAACATACCAGGGTAACATATCTCTGCAACGCTTAAGAAGAAAAGACTAAAGAACCGATACCTCTCTGGGATCATCATTTAAATACTATGACAGAAGCCACTGACTGATTCAAGACAGAGATACAGATGCCAGAGATGCTGCAGATTTTCAGAAATCTTTATAAGCTACAGGGCAGACTATCATCACTATGCAGAGTTAGTCCTCCTCCTTGTGCCTTACTGGTGCACTTCGTGTTTTCTGTCTCATTTTCCATGTTGTATTATTTAACTTGCCATCTTACTGTATAGTAGTTCTCACAAGTTCCAGCATTGTGTCTGTAGCGGTTCCTCCAGTACCAGGGTGACCTGTTCCCATTCATATTGTCACAAAAATAACCCTCTTCTCTCAGAAACCTGCCTCTTAAAGTGTGTATCCCTCTGTGGGCACTTACAGAGAGAAAGATGATGAAAATGCAGATAAATTAAAACATGGTCACTATGTGGGGCTGGAGAGGTTTGATTTAGTCCCCAGTGCTGACATGTTACATTAATGTTACCTTCTATGATGGTTCTTGAATATTTGTATGAAGATATAAAACAACAACTTAATACTACACAACCAGATGGCTATTACATAACAAGCGTCTACATCCTCATGATTCATTTTGTTACTGTTTTTTTTGCAATAAAGATTAATAATAACAGATCTTTCAATCACACTTATATAAAGGTTAAAGATCTTGCTTCAGCATGAAAATAAAATTAACTCTTATGAATGCAACAAATAAAATACTATCTAGCAACACATCACAAGTAGGGGGGATGTCTAGGGTGGCTGAAAAAGTATTAGGCATTTTGTGGCCACTAACGATGCAGTGAAAAGTCAATTCTGAACAATTCAGAAAGACAAAAGGTAACTGTCTTAGAAGTATCCAGTAAGGAAGCTAAAACTGAAAAGAGTGATGACTGAGTGCACAGTGTCTGGCACAGTGTGAGAGCTATTCTTGGACTGCAAAGCTAAAACATGGAGACAGAGCTCAGGGACACAGTGCTTGAACATTTGTACACTGCACAAGTCAGCACTGGGCTTTTTACAAACAAAACAGGCTGCTCTCTAGAAAAAAATGGAAAGAACAACAAAGTTACCAGTTTCTCAGTGCACAAACTGTACAGCAAATTATCACCTCCACTAGGCTCCGCAGTTGGCACACAGAGCCAAGTTTTCATGCCACCTGACATAAATATAGGTTGCACAGTTCAACACCAAGCCAGGGTGAGGCATTGTGCTGGAGGCTTTTCATGTGATTTTTGATAGTAGAGAACGAGGACACACGAGTCCACTCCAAGCACAAGCCTTCTCTTCTAGGCACATGCTGCTTTTCACACACCTCAGTTTTAAACTCTTACAGCTTACCACCACAATGTAACAAGCATATATATACATACTTACAAGACATATAACCAGCAATATCTATTCATCACTGATCCGTACCCACACGGCTCCTTGGATAGCCATGCCTATCTACTCTTCTAGACTGTTTTCCCAGATGAACCATCCAGCCTCACTCTCCTTGTGGTATGTCTCTATTCACTTTTTATCCAGTTGCTTTTGTCAGGCAGTCTTGCCTCTTGTGCCAAGCTCATAGATAATACCAGTCTCTTCTCCTCCTGCCTGCTCAACTTGACTGTTCCCCTGCAGACATTAATCTCATTCATCCATTCTCCTGCATTTCTCTCACATTCCCTCAGCCTCTCAGTTGTTCCCAGACCTTTATTTCCTAGTTTAATCCTCAGATGTAAGGTGCACTTGTACCTTTGTATAGCTGTACTGCAGAAGAGCAAACTTTTGGTCAGGAGACAGTATAACTGTGCTTGCCTTGTACTGATCCTGTCAAAAAAAGGAAGGGCAAAAGGAACATATTAAGCAGCAATTCCAAAGAAATGCACAGTACAAAATACTAAATTCAATACCTTTCCAAATGTCTGCATATATTTTAAGTAAGTCAACATACTATTGTTGTATTCGCCAAGACTACTGTGGATGCTCCAGTGTCAGCATTGATAAGTAGGATGTTCCCATTAGCTGTTTTGTGAAGATACTGATTTCCTAGAAAAACAAGAGAGCTGCTAATAAAAATTAAGCAAAATGCTCATCAGTTATTTCTTTTTCCCCCCTGTTTTTAAGCATGAAATAAAATTCAAAATTCTGGTCAACGTTGTGCTTCCCATTTCTGTAATGAAAGGATGCTTATAGCACAAGAATGTTCACAAAACGTAGTCCTGAGGCTCGTAGCATCCACCTTCTAGCATCTCTTTACCTTGGGGTACTAGGCACATTCAAAAGCCAAAGTGGCCTGTATCTGCCTGTTTCCTGGCAGCCCAACGCACAGGAAGCTGACACACTTCAGAGGATAACATGCTTCTATGAATAAAGCATAGAAGTAAGTATGCTCTTTTAGCAATAGAAGAAAATGGACTGTCATGAATGTGAACAAGTATCTAAGGGGAGAACGCACAGTTCTATAATGGCACTATTAAATAATATAGCTTTTTTTTTCAGGATACAATAGTCACTTTAGCATGAGGATATGTGTCTACTGAAGGTAGGACATCTTCTTGACATTCAAGTTGTACATAAAAATGAATTACCTGAAATCCACTGCAAATTATGTGTTTTGTACTTATAGTCATTGTTCAAGTAGTTCTGTAGAGTGTATGTTCTTCGTGAATCATGCTCAGAGGTACTTTCTGAAAGAAAGAGACAGAAGAGATTTTGATGTTGCTACAAATTGTTCCACCACAGCTTTTAACCTGACTACTGAGTGGGCCTTTTGTTGCTGGTTATTGATGTGTTTTAGCTAATCAGTTCTAAAGTACCAGCAGTGGAAAGGAAATAAAACTTTATTTCAAGGTAAATTCAGCAAGCATAAAATAAAGAAATGCCAGTGAAATCACTCAACAAGTTCATGTAAATGAAAATACCTTTTGGACCATGACAAACAGAAGACCTCTGACTCTCTTATCTCAGGAAACATATACTTGTACTCCTTAAAAACTGAAAGGAAGTGATCTTAGTGCCTTTCTACCCATGCTTGCTCTGGAAAGTTCACTGCAGAGCCCTGACTACTAATATTTGCATCAGGCATCAACTGTGGGGTGGGGTGTACAAAGCAGAGATGTACGTGCTCATGTTCAAGACTGGTGGACAGGTAAGGTTGTCCAGATGAATGAAATGTGACATCCACATGAGTAGATGTATAGACCTTGACAGATACCTAAAATTAAAGCAGCTGCTGCACTGCATCTCACATTCTGTAATACTGCTGTTCCTGTTCATGAACCCTTCAATTGTGAATCATCTGCTTCTCATTAAACTCAAATTTCAGAAATATCTCAAATGAAAAAAATAAATCTGAGATGCAGTAAAATATTAAGAGAAGGTCCAATAAAGAAAAAATAAATCACAAACACCTTCTAATAAGCTTATAATGAAATAACTGGTCAAATATTTATTCCTATCTTGATGGGTTTTCCATGAAGGTATCTTAATATTTATTGCAACATTACTGTTTAGACAAGAAAATTAAATCTAACTGGGTTACTCTGAAAAGACCAAGTGAAACTTTGAACCTAGTTAAGCTAACGAATTTGGTCATCAGCTGCAGCACACTGCAGTCAACTTCTATGAAAAATGTTTCTTTCTTACTGACTGCAGTTCACCACCTACTCTTTCCAAAGTAGGAAAAAATAATAATTATGAACATTAAATAATAAACAACAACTCAGTTTGTGAGTCTTTGTGATCTTTTTCCCCTTAAAACAAAGACTACAGTTTTTAAATTCAGGTGTGCAATTCTCTACTTGCTTCCTCCCTGCCTTTTGTTGTTTCTGTATTTTTTTCCAACAGAAACCCAAAACCTACCCTCATACAAATCTACACAGTCCAGAAGGGAAGCAATTTTAATTTCAACTGCCTAAATCACAAGACCTAGAATAAAAGCAGCTGATAAAAACACTCAAGTATAGATGGGCTGACTGATCAACTAAGACAATAACCCACCCCTTTCAATTCAGAGTCCCAGTCTCTCTCTTCTTTCATTATGCTGAAGAAGAGTGCAAAGACCTTGAGGACACACAGAGAAAAGCACCTCATAATAATTTTTGCAGGTTATCTTTCTGCAGGTTAAATACATCTGACATCTGGAACACAGCAGGGAGATATTACAGCTTTATTCTTATTTCCAAACAATAAGCCAATTGTATATACACAGCACAGGCTGCACAGCCACTACTACAATAAAAGTTAAAATGCTCAGCGAAGGTTAACAAAATTGCTTGCTCAATTTCATTTGAAATTTGACTGTTCTAAAAAATTCCTAGGATAGATCTATTGCTTTTGATGCTTCTGTAGAATATTAATTTCTCAGGTTAATTATTCTATATTAACTGAATATTTAATTTGATGGATTATGAATAAGTGTGCGTTTGATACTCGCACGCAGTTGTCTAGTTGGGACTATTACTTCTCTCCTTCCTAATTGAGAAAGTGTCATTTTCAATTAGAGGACCTTCAGAAAGCAACAAAACTCTCTCTTGGAAAAGGAGAAGCAATTTAAGACAGGTGGCTGATGAACAGGTTTAGGGATTTTTCCAAACTGATGAATGTTTTTCCCCTAGTGACATACATATTTTGCTAAGGTCTCATTACTAAAAATCAGGCCACTATTAAGATTTGTTGGCTGTGTATAAAATTAAAATTTCATTTTCTGTCAACACCTTCCACATAGTATCTGAATATGAAAACATACGCCAAGCTGTACGGATATAATCATAGAAATTCTAGTTGAAGTTTTCTTAATTTGTGAGATAGGCCACTACCTGGTATATTCTTACTTATCCACATTATGCCACCAACCAAAACCATTCAACACACACGGAACTCTGCATTTTGGTTCTTGTTCAGATGCCATTTGAAAAGAAGGGCAACAAAACTGGTGAAGGGTTTGGATTACAAGTCTTGCGTAGAGCAGCTGAGGGAGCTGGGGTTGTTTAGCCTGGAGAAAAGGAGGCTCAAGGGAGACCTTATCACTCTCTACAACTACCTGAAAGGAGGTTGTAGCAAGGGGGGTGTTGGTCTCTTCTCCCAGGCATCTAGCGACAGGACAAGAGGAAATGGTCTCAAGCTGTGCCAGGGGAGATTCAGGTTGGACACTAGAAAGAATTTCTTCACTGAAAGGCTGGTTAAGCACTGGAAAGGGCTGTCCAGGGAAGTGGTGGTCACCATCCCTGCGCATGTCCAAGAAATGTCCCATGGTTTAGCTGAAAAAATGGTGTTTGGTGAAAGGGTGGACTTGATGATCTTGGAACCTTAATGATTCCATGATTCATCTCTACCCTATTCTCACTCCTGGCAGTACATACATATTTCCACTATCATAATTATATACTGTAAATAATTACATCATAATATCCCTGTTACAACAGCAAAAAAAAGTCCTTCTGAAAGAAGGCTCTTAACCTTTTATGCAAGTAGTACTCATATGAAGTTGATAAACAATTTTGTTTCAATTTTGAAACTTTTTATTAATATATCACCCTTTCTCAAGAGAAAAATTGAGCTGTTTTCTGTAGGTGTAAGATGTTGACATAATTTTAACCCCAGCTGGAAACTAAGTACCACTCGCTTCCCTCCTCCCTCCCTGCCCTGAGTGGAATGGGGAGGAGAATCAGAAAGAGAGAACACACAGGTTAAGCTAAGAATAGTTTAATGATTGAAATAAAGCTAAATATAATGCTATCGATAATAGTAATAGTATTTGTAATGAAAAGGAGAGATAGAGAGAGGAATAAAACCCAAGAAAGACAAGTAATGCACAGTACTCACCACCCACTGACCAAGGCCCAGCCTGACCCTGAGCAGCAATTGGCACCTCACAGTCAACTTGCCCCTGTTTATATGAGCATGACATTCTATGGTATGGCATATCCCTTTGGCCAGTTTGGGTCAGCTGTCCTAGTCATGATGTTTTACACTAATGTTTTAGTTGTTGCTATCAACTTTATTCTCATACTGAAACCAAAACAGAGCACTGTACCAGCTAGTAGGAAGAAAATTACCTGTATCCCAACCAAAACCAGGACAGGTGTAAAGTAAACATGAAGTTAACTATCGTGTAAGGCTTATGGTATGACACATCACCATACCAAAGCCTAAAGATGTTGCCAAACTACTTGTGGTATATGTATTGTTTATTTCCTATTGCATCAAGGTGCATTTTTTATTAATTTCCGAAAGTAATTTAAAAAAGTGCAAGAAATTATGCAACTGACTTAAAAGAGATGGAAAACTATAAAAACAGTAATAATGGAAGCTGTACTCTGTATTTGTCACTACTAAGAGAGAGACTGGAAAAACCACAAAAAGCGAAAAGTGAGTACAAGCATGACATTCGGCAATAGTGAGAAAGGGATAGAGAAATTACAAGAATCAGGAAAGGGGAATTATTGCCATTTTAAAGTGACAGCAGAACAAGTGCAAGGATGATATGCAAATTAGGAATGTAATTCAGGAGCAGTGGCAGACATGCAAGGGAAACCCAACTGATTAAGTGGTCAGAAAAGTAAGAGACATTTCAGGCTATTTTTTCCAAACCTTCCTTTTCCCCATTTCTCTTCCAACATGTGTAAAGAAGTACTTAAACCCTTCCTCCACCCTCTACAATCAAGCCCCCAGTTACCGTCTAAGATATGTGATGATTAGAGCACTGAAATAGATTTCTAGCACACAAGTATGTAAAAACTACTCTCCTGGGTCAAGCCAAAGGTTCACTTAATCCAGAATTCTATTCAATATCCAGGAGCTGATACAAGACATTCAGGAGAGACCATAACCAACAAGTGACTGTTGGGACACCTCTTGGGGCAGTTCACCCAAGAGCCACCCTAGGGGCTGCAGAGACTTTCCCAGAGGGATGTAATCATAAATCTCATGTTCAATAGCTCTGGGATCCCACTCAAACTTACTCCATCTCATGCAAAGCAAGGAAATAAAAATGGTAAAAGTGTTCTACAGACAGCAATCCACTGCTGATACTTTTTTATATTGCTCGACAGCATTAATGTAGATAAGAGTTAAATGACAGTTACAAGAAGTCAAGGACACATAGCAGGAAAACATTTCTGTTCCCTATCTTTTGAGACTCATGAACCACCCTCAAGCACCTTATGGTCATTAACTTCTCCAGCACCTGCTGTACTGTTCCAACCTCTTCTAGGCACACTTTTATCAAAACACCACAGAAGCACACACATAGTATCATCTAATGACAGCAATGATCCTTCTCATTTAGTGAGTATCTCACCCTTGGAGAATTAGACCTGTGGGTGAAGGAACCTGTTTTGTGACCAGACAGTTGTATGGGACCCTTCACTCTAAGACTGTTTATGACATGCTCATGGCAGCAGAATGATACTAGATACTGCACTGTCTCCTTCCTGTTCTCAGCACTAGCTACTCGTCCTCCCACTCCCTGGCCTTGTGGCCCAGCTAGCTTTAACAACAACTGCAGTTAGAAAAGAGGTAAAGGTATATGGACATGGGATGTCACAATCTGCCTTTTGCACATAAAGTTATAGGAGAAAACAAATGGGAGAAGTGTAAGTAAATGGGTAAAGGAATCATGAACAGTCAGACCAAAATGCTTTAGAAAAGACTCATGCTTTAAGGGTAACCACTTGTTACTGTAGTC